TATGGTGCTTTTGCCTAATTAAGTTGAGCTATCAGTCTCATATATTACTTGAGTGATAATAAAATGAATCCTAAAAAACACTTTGAACCCCCACACAGTTTTATCTATTTACATTTCATACTCTGCTAAAATTTGCAGAAATGAAAGATTTTGCAGCAACACAAGCAACTAAAGAATCTATGTTAGATACTTTTGTTTCTGAAGTCCCTTGGCCATTTTCCCAGAAGGTGCTCCAGCTTTGTAGCAAAAACCTTTTATTACAGTCAGGGCACATACCCAGGTTGCAGGCTCAATCCCCATTAGGAGGTGTGCAGGAGGCAGCTGATCAGTGATTTTTTCCTCATCACTGATGTTTCTTCTCTCTCCCTCCCTCTCCATTCCTCTCCAAAATCAATAAAAGTATTTTTTAAAGGTTAAGATGGTAAATTTTATGGTGTGTGCCTTTTACTACATTTATTTTTAAAAAAGGAACCTATAAAAATAAAAGCATAATATGCTAATTAGACCACACAGCCAAACGACCTACAAGACAAAGCCAGGGCTGCATGTACTGAGCTCCCTTGCACAAATTTCATGCATTGGGCCTCTAGTAAAAAAATAAAAAGTACAGAAATCACTCTTTCATTTCTGTCTTAATAGCCATCCAATTCCTTCACCCAAAACACCTAACATCACCAGTCTTTGTGTATCTTTCCAGAATCTATGCATATACAAGCAAATCCACACATACATGTAGACAGGTTCATATGGGGAGAAACTGATGCCCAATACACTGTGATACAGGGGTTCAGTGAGACAGACTTGAGACCCTTTGAGATCGTATATTAACGAATGATGCCCTTGTAATGGTTGTGGACTTGACTCCAGGCTCCAAGTCTTCCTCTGTATGTCAGCCACGCTAACAACCTATAGATTTTTGTGGGGACAAAATTCCTTGAACCCAGCATGTAAAGAGGACAAAAGTGTCAATATAGTGTTTCACTGTTTTCTTGGGGAAATTCCAATCAGAATAACAACAGAGCCCAGTCTGGTGTAGCTGTGACTTGGGTATCCTCCCATGCACCAAAAGGTTGTTGGTTTGATTCCTGGTCAGGGCACATGCCTGGGTTGCAGGCTCGATTCCCGGTAGGGGGCATCAGATCCATATTCTCCTCTCACATCTATGTTTCTCTCTCTCTCTCCCTCTCCTATCCCCTCTCTCTCAAATTAAACACACACACACACACACACACACACACACACACACACACACACACACAAAAACGTAAAAGAACAATAGCAAAGTTTACTCAATCCCCAAGCTACCATAGAAGGGGATTAGGCCAGAGTTAGTTGGACCATGTGTCCCATGGCTACAGGTCCTGTGGAGAGGGAGCCTGCATGGAATGCATCACGTTTATAAGGAAGGTGAGGCAGGGACATCTATACCACCACCATGAAAGCTGTTGGATGAAAGAAATTATCTCATT